TTCTATAATTTCGATAATCATAAATTAAAAGGATTGGTTCGCGTCATTTTGACGCGTCCCGTAAACCTAGCGTTAATGTTTGCTATATTTTCGTGAACGTTTTCAATCTGTAATCTTTACAGTCTAATGCTTTGATTTAAATTTAGTTTTGCGTTTATATACAACGTCTATATGTTCTAATAGTTTGCAGGTTTGTATTTGAAGGTTTTTGAAGCAATCGATAATGTAATTAACAGCGTTCCTTGCAACAAAAGAATTTGCGGCTGTCAGTTTTCCTTCTAGGTACGAACTTCGTTATTGCGAGCACGCCGGAGACGGCCGTAAAGCTTTGAGAAGCTATCGTGTCTTCGAAATCGATTAAATATCAATTATAAGTTTGGAGCGTCTTCTGCAGCAAGAGTCGATCGTTTTTCCTGCGCACTCGCATTATTACGTACTCAAGTAGCAATATACTATAAAATGTGTGTCATCGCATTCCATTAATCAACCGCCGCAGCCTAACTAAACGAGTCTTGTACATTCATGCGAGCATCAAGTCCCATCGAATTAAGTGATCCGTGTGTAGTACATACTGTGTACAATTCCTAGCAAAGTGCCTTACTCTATTTTTGATACTGTACCCTAATTGTGTATCACTGTTCTAATTTTGTCAAGCGTATTCCTGAAAGTATAACCACAAACCGAAAATTACAAAATCACAAAAATTGGGATAAGAATAAATATTGAAACTTGCTTCTTGTGGAAACACTCACACAACAAAGTGTATAAAATATTATTTAATATTGGATGTAATGTAATATAAATAGTATTTTCTTTTTGACCTGTATACGGTGTATTTGGGAATTCTTACTTCGTTGTAATTTGTACGGTTTTTCATACGGGGCTCAGACATATTACAAACTTTGCGTTACATTTATCAGTCCTGTACCACAAGATGTCGGCTCAAACAGGATTAATTTGCGATGACCTCCAAAGACCGGATCCTTTTCCTTTGGATGGCCAGAGGGAATCTTTATGGAAACATCTGCTGGGTCGCTATCATCCTCGAAATTTCGAGTTCTCTCTCTCTCTCTCTCTTCGACTTTGCGAGGAGATCTCGCGTGAAACATTCTGATAGTCGCCTTTGGACACCGAGACTTCTTTACTCCCCGACGTTTCTCGAAATTTAAAATATGGACAGTCCGGGCAATTGAATTACCGGATTATTCGAGCGTAGTCGCAAGCTTTTGCGGTGTTATTCGAGACACCGAGCAATTCAAGCGTCGTGTCATTCGAGTTTCGTTTGTATTTACTGCAGAAAACACATTTGAATAAGTAAAACTTCTTACAGCTTGGACACAAAGCATCCAGCGTTACGAAACTTCTTTATTTTATGAACACCTCGGAACGTGAATGTTTTATCTTGATTATCCCAGTCTACAGAATGACGTTCCTTTCGACGCCATTTATCTTCCCTTCGAAACATTTTACAAATACGCCTGAAGCTTCGAAGACATTCGCGTGGATTGATTTGAATGGAACTATCTCTGCTTATATCGGGTGTCTTGTCTCTAATGGATAATCTTTCTTTATTTTCTTCATTTGAAAAATAGCTCACTATTATTTTATCTTAAATATATTTTATTATTGTGTTATTTTATAACGATCACAATATACTTTTACAAAAATAATCACTGAAATCGAACTTTTAGAATGATATACGATGCTTGACTGTCTTAAGGTGTTAACGAGTTAAGAAACAATATATGAAACGTTGCTGCCACAGAAACGGGTAAACTTATGTTATTATCCGATGCATCTGTAAACCTATTGTATGTATGTATGTCAAGTAATTTGAATGATAACTCAAATAGGACCCCTAATAAATAAAGGCAAATTTGTTTAAAAGTATTCTACGATTATAGCTCAATTTTGATATGATTTCTTATTTGCGATAACTCTAATTAAGCTTTATAAGTTATATACAAAATTTGTTTATAAAATTTACATTCTACGTATTAACATATGTTATTAACATATGTGAAACATAAATATAAAATATATATTTAAAAAGTACAAAATAGTTTGGAAAACAATATTTACATCATCTTTCTTTCAGTCAGAAATGTCAATGAAAATTCGTTGCAAAGCAAATGCTATAAATATTTCATCATCTGTCGTTAAAAGTGACTATTTTTTAAATATTTTTAGTAACAATTTCACTCCGATATCTTTTATCGTTCAAAAGTTATTTGAACTCGATCTGAATCATTGCGAGGCGTCGCGAGTACGTTTCACGGTTTCAAGTCTGCCCAGTTGCCTTGAAACGCCGATAAGGCAGTCGAAAGTTCGTCGGGAAGTGGAAGCTCGGGCGTTTCCTTTTTAAAAGCGAACCGCTGCCTTTCGACGCGTTGCGATGCAGGTAAACCGTAAAATTCGTTGTTGTCGTTGAACGCGTTGGAGCGGATCATTCTGCTCGGAGATAAACACAGAGAAAATGTTCAATGGTCGAGAAGTTGGACCGTCAGGTGTCCACGCTAGCCGCAGCGTCCGCTTCTGCTCGCCGATAACGTAATTGAAATGTCTTCTTCCATTCGCTCCCCTTGCCAACGCTCTCCCGCATAAATCACGGCCGGCCGATCGACTTCTTTAAGTGGATCATTCGTTAAATGTAAATGTCGCAATAGAAATCTTGCCAGGATCTCGTGGCCGGTAAAGATTTCTCTTCCTTTAAATGACTATGCTCGTCGAGGCTGCTTCCCGTTTCCGATAATGCCAACGAAGCGGTCCCTTATGCGCGGCTTTATCTTCTCCCCTGAAGCGAGTCGCATGAAGCGGGTCAAAAACGTACTTGTGCACTCGGCTTTTTTTCGGAATAATTTGATGCAGACTATTGGTTTATTCAAATCTGCTCTTGCTTGTTCCAGTCGCTTCTCTTTATTGTTGCGACTAAACTGCGAGATAATATACAAGTTGTGCACATTTTTAAAGATTTGATCACTTTATTTTGCATTTTCCAACACCGCTTTTAGAGTAGATGAAATTATTTGTTGGATATCGAAAATTGAGAATGTTTTTTGAGTATATTACAAAAATGTCGGACTGTCAACTTAAACTACCATAATTAATTCACACGGTTAAATGTATATAATAGCTACATTTGGAAAGCAAATGAACAAAATAGTGCACAATAAGGTGTGAAGCCTATTTTGAGGCTAGATTATATTCAACACATTATTACAATTTTGTCACTAATATTTATGCATAGTTGACTATGCAAAACCCAAAGATGTAACAATTGTAATATAATTTCATTTTTCGTGCGCTGTTTCGAAATCGCATAATGTATATTTCCTCGTTATTGTGTTCTATTTCCTTAATTTTATGTACATTCCAATGAACACTGATTTCTCAAAATTTCTATTTGACAACCCGAAATTGTATAAATATGTCAGCAATTTAGATATACATTGAAATAGTCTGCAAAAGAGAGCTACTGCATTCGCGTTTCACCTTTAAAGATCACTTAACGGGAAACCGCTATAGCACTATGTAGTAACCAAACGGTTAATCTTATCATTCAGAGTTTAAAAGTATAAAGAGATGCTATTAGAGGTATGAATTTTTCATGAAGTACGTGTGCGTATTAAACTTTATTTATAAATACATTATGTTCCGTTAGTCTTTTTATATTTATTTGAGAAATGAGATTTAAAATTTCATTAATGGTTTCTGCTGTATTTTCAGAATATTCTTGTGTCCACACCCCGATTTTCTTCAGTAAAAACACTTTAATTATCAGAAGACAAGATGTTTGAAAATCTTTCTAAAATAATAATAAACTAATAATCGAATCAAAACTAATAATCGAATAATAATCAAAAGAAATTATTAAATTACATTTCCGAGGGTGGTTTGTTGGTTCAAAACTGATATTGGCATTGACAGAAATCTTTTTTAGAAACTCTTCAGCTTTGATTCGTAAACATAGAATAATTGTTAAATAACCATCGGTACTTAATATGTTAGAAATATGCGATCTGAAGTATGTTTTTGTAAAAATGACATAATCTTGACAAAAAATACCTTGAAATATTGTGTGTTTTGGTATATTTTTCAAACACACTAAATAGAGAAAATACGGAATAATGACTTTGGTACAAGAATGATGACAAATGTATCGTATAAACAATTTACACGTATACAACGTTTTCGTATTGTACAATACAACGATTTACAGACGTTGCATCACGAGCAATGTCTTTATAGTCCTTGTCACCTCCGACTCATGTGCGCGAGTACAGTCGTGACATTCTAAGCACCTAATCCATCCTTTTATGGATTCGGAGAACAAATGTCACAGAAAAAACATTCAACATAGTCGTTGATTTTTCTTTCAAGAATCCTTGTTCCTTTTCAGTTGAAGGACAGTTTTCTTTTACCTCTTCTCCCTCTGCTTGAGATCCAGTTATGTTTTTGCATAATACGAGGTGTTGTCGTGTTCCAGTTTTAATGCGAGTGTGTGGCTAAAGAAAGTTTTATTGCATACGAAATACTTCTAGACACTGTTGCATGGGAATATACGTACATATACATGTTCGTTATTACGTCACATTGCTGGAGACAAATGTCGGTGGTGTGTTTCCTGTGCAATCTTCTGGTTAGGCTGACTGAGTAACTCTTCACCTAATTCGTTAGGTTGGTTTCCTAGACCACTTTAGTCTAGTTTTCTATTATTTCTACTAAGTCAATGGGACTAAATTAGTACAGTAAATGCTCTCTAATTGATCCTTAGCTTGTAAACAAAAATGGACGATTTGGGAAGAGGAGATACGATTATTCGAGCCTCGCGACTCGTTTTTATAGTCGCCGATTGTCAACAATTATAAAAACGAGCTGCAAGGCTCGAATAATCGTATCTCCTCTTCCCAAATCGTCCATTTTTGTTTACAAGCTAAGGGTCAATTAGAGAGAATTTACTGTATTTATACTCTTTTTTTGCGAATTTCTCCATTTCGCAGGCACTGAAGAGCGTTCGCTACTAGGTATTCTAAGTATGTATGCTAGATAGTAATGCTTCTGATTTTATAATGTGGCGTTTAGCTGGCATGATCTCGATTTATATGGGAATGATTCATTAACATGCTTTTAAGCTTAGAACATCGTGCGACCCACGTCCTGCATAGCATTCAATATATATTTTGTAGTTATAGCGAAGTGATTTGAATATTTCTGAGAAACTTAAAATGTGTTTGGCATTTTAATTAAAATTGAAGAAAAATTACCACGAATTTGATCCAAGTGATACGTGTATCCTGTTTTGTTCACGTTTATGAAACATTCGAATTTTTGTTCCGCGTAATACTTTATTGTTTTATCACCGTTTTAATAGTATTTTTGCATTCCTGCTAACACCCGATATTAGTTTTGCCAAAACGTAAAAGTAAAACGATGTAAATGGCTTTTAAGCCAGTATTCCGATATTTCCAATATCGTAAAAATCACACGTACGGCGTAACGTAGATTGTTTTCAGTCCGACTCGAGATTCGATTCACATCGATCTTGTCACGTCTGCCACAACGTTTATCAACTTTGCACCATTTTTTTCATGCCCGTCACCATCGCTGTGCACCGTAAATCTTTTCTACTGTTTTCACCGCGATTTCACCTCTGCGAAAATAAAAGAGTCTCGTTCATCTTCAGATCGAACTAGAAATTACAAAGTCCAATCAAATGTGATAATTACCCTTTCGAATTACACGTTTAAATCGCAGCTTTTGGATTACACGTACACGAGTTTCATCGGTTAAGAAGTTTAATGTGCGAACATGTTAACAGCCACTCCAAGAAAGGCGCACAAAATCGGGACAAGTTGTTTGATAATATAAGAGTAGAAAAGGCAAGATATGTCGTAACAATTGTTTTCTTAACCCTTTCATATCACGTAGATACTAACAAAGCTTACTTAACGCAACTAGTGTTAACTACCAAACTGAAAATATTTAATTGTACAACTAGAGAACTAAACAGTATGAAACGCGAGAAAAAGTTTATCTCTACCTTAGTTCTAGCATGAACAGATTAATAATTGTCAAGTTTGACGAAAGAGTTCTAAGAGCAGCTCTTCGCAGAAAAATCCGACAGCGTCGCCCAGCGCAACAGATTCTTAAAAATCCTCTTGGTGCGCGTTTCATTTAGATTCGAAAAGCTTCGGTCGGGATAAGGATCGATCGTCGCAGTAAATCGATGAAGGCATTCTAAAAATCAGTGTGTTCTTTCCCGTGCTGCGACAGGACACCGAACGAATGGTCGACGAAGTCGGCGCCGGAACGAGGTCGCCCGTGTTTCTCCGCGGTACGAATATGGGAAACAGTGTTACACCGACTAAATGTNCCTTAGCTTGTAAACAAAAATGGACGATTTGGGAAGAGGAGATACGATTATTCGAGCCTCGCGACTCGTTTTTATAGTCGCCGATTGTCAACAATTATAAAAACGAGCTGCAAGGCTCGAATAATCGTATCTCCTCTTCCCAAATCGTCCATTTTTGTTTACAAGCTAAGGGTCAATTAGAGAGAATTTACTGTATTTATACTCTTTTTTTGCGAATTTCTCCATTTCGCAGGCACTGAAGAGCGTTCGCTACTAGGTATTCTAAGTATGTATGCTAGATAGTAATGCTTCTGATTTTATAATGTGGCGTTTAGCTGGCATGATCTCGATTTATATGGGAATGATTCATTAACATGCTTTTAAGCTTAGAACATCGTGCGACCCACGTCCTGCATAGCATTCAATATATATTTTGTAGTTATAGCGAAGTGATTTGAATATTTCTGAGAAACTTAAAATGTGTTTGGCATTTTAATTAAAATTGAAGAAAAATTACCACGAATTTGATCCAAGTGATACGTGTATCCTGTTTTGTTCACGTTTATGAAACATTCGAATTTTTGTTCCGCGTAATACTTTATTGTTTTATCACCGTTTTAATAGTATTTTTGCATTCCTGCTAACACCCGATATTAGTTTTGCCAAAACGTAAAAGTAAAACGATGTAAATGGCTTTTAAGCCAGTATTCCGATATTTCCAATATCGTAAAAATCACACGTACGGCGTAACGTAGATTGTTTTCAGTCCGACTCGAGATTCGATTCACATCGATCTTGTCACGTCTGCCACAACGTTTATCAACTTTGCACCATTTTTTTCATGCCCGTCACCATCGCTGTGCACCGTAAATCTTTTCTACTGTTTTCACCGCGATTTCACCTCTGCGAAAATAAAAGAGTCTCGTTCATCTTCAGATCGAACTAGAAATTACAAAGTCCAATCAAATGTGATAATTACCCTTTCGAATTACACGTTTAAATCGCAGCTTTTGGATTACACGTACACGAGTTTCATCGGTTAAGAAGTTTAATGTGCGAACATGTTAACAGCCACTCCAAGAAAGGCGCACAAAATCGGGACAAGTTGTTTGATAATATAAGAGTAGAAAAGGCAAGATATGTCGTAACAATTGTTTTCTTAACCCTTTCATATCACGTAGATACTAACAAAGCTTACTTAACGCAACTAGTGTTAACTACCAAACTGAAAATATTTAATTGTACAACTAGAGAACTAAACAGTATGAAACGCGAGAAAAAGTTTATCTCTACCTTAGTTCTAGCATGAACAGATTAATAATTGTCAAGTTTGACGAAAGAGTTCTAAGAGCAGCTCTTCGCAGAAAAATCCGACAGCGTCGCCCAGCGCAACAGATTCTTAAAAATCCTCTTGGTGCGCGTTTCATTTAGATTCGAAAAGCTTCGGTCGGGATAAGGATCGATCGTCGCAGTAAATCGATGAAGGCATTCTAAAAATCAGTGTGTTCTTTCCCGTGCTGCGACAGGACACCGAACGAATGGTCGACGAAGTCGGCGCCGGAACGAGGTCGCCCGTGTTTCTCCGCGGTACGAATATGGGAAACAGTGTTACACCGACTAAATGTGACACGTCGGATAATTGAGTAGCGCTCGCAGGACACCGTGGTTCCGCATACGCCGTGTCCGGGCTCGAATTTCGAGATTAATCATCGGCCGCGAGGATCACGAGTGAGATCGAGTGCGAAGATCTTGCCGCTGCGCCTGGATAAATAATCTGCCGGCACGTGCTCCGTCTGGGATTCGACGGACGCGTGCACGAAGGAATCCGAGAAAAAGGTCGAAGGAGGTACACGCAGGAAGAAGCGGACACCGAAGGATTCGTCGAGGCCTGGCCGATAACACGATTGAAACATCCGTCCGAGTGCATGCACACGTCCTACGAGGCTGAGTCACGTACGCGCGTTTTCGATTCGAGGCTTCGGGGACGTGATACCGTTTGATTCCTCGCATTAGAGTCCACCTTCCACGATATCGGCCACCTTCCTCGTTCCATGCTGCTCGCCGCGCGAGCTCAAAGATTCCGCGGTTCCCAGGAGCCACCAGATTCTCCTTAGAGTTGTCTTGTATGCGACGCGGCTGCGCGAGATCTCCCCGGAGATGCTGAAGATACGGATGCTGGATTACATCGGGGACACCGGGTGAGTCTTACCGCACAGCTCCTGCTTTTTGCACTTCGACGACAGAGCTTCGATCTTATAAACTGCTGATTTTCACACCGCGAATCTGCAGTCGAGCCGCGTCTTTGAATGATGAGAATCTGTCAGACCTTTGCTTTCGGGAAATGGGCTGCTACTTTTACAGGATTTTCGTGGGAAACTATCTCTCTTGGGCGATGAGGCAGGATGATCTGTACAGTGAGTGAACACTTAACCATTTACCTGCCGGAACGTTTCTAATATGGAGTGCTGTTAAAAGCGAAGATCAACGGTTGAGAATTTCTTGATATATTTTTTGAAAGTGAAAATAGCTTCATCCATGATCCAACTCATTTGAATTATTATAATGGAACAGCTTCCTCTGAAATTGTTATTTCAAACTAAATTATCTGAGCTTTATTTACGTACAGCTTAGCCGTTGTGAAACCTATTAATTCCGGTACATAAAGTATTAAGCTGCATGATCGTTATTTAATCCTCTGAATAATGCTGTTGTTTTACTGCCAAATTTATTCCTCAAGACGCTTCTAGCATTTTTGGATAGTTACAAGATTTTTAAAAGCATAGTCCTCTGTATTGTCCGACATTTTATATTGGTTCAAAATAATAAATGTGACATGAAATAAGTGAATTTAGGAACGTCAAACTTGAGATATAAATTAACAATTCTTTGTTAATTTGCATGCTCTCGGATGTGCGAAGCAAATTTAAAAAATTGCAATGCATACCATTATTGATTATGAAGGAAATAACAGAATAAATAAAATCACAGCAATTACTTTTAAACAATTTGATGGCACCGTGCATTTATGATCAGCAACACTTTGAAAATACTAATTTTATTATAAAAATTTTAGAGACGTAGTAATTTATAAATAACTCTTTATACGCAAGGTAAAATTATTTTCGATTGTTGTTTTTGTGTATCGATGGGACTTCGTGTATCGCATTGTACTTGTCACGGTGGACGCTACGAAAAGTGATTTACCGTAACTATATGCAATTAAGGGAACGATGAGAAAAGAGCGCATATTTTGACGCTTAAAATTCCAAGGTGCTACTTCCTTTTATCGTGTTGTGCTTTTAAGAACACACTCGGTATTCGCATCTGGAATGAAATTATGATTGGGGGACCCATTTTACACGCCTCGCAGTCCACCACTAGGAATGCATCGCTCAGAATACTAATGAACACGCACGAGAACAAGACCGATATTCTTTTCCACTCCGCGTATAACGATGGCTCCTCGAATTCACTTAACGTATTTAGATAAAAATTTCGGGCGAAATTAGAACGAGCCGAAACCTCGTTTCGTCAAGGTCCTCAGCTCGCTGTCACCCTCGAATAAAACAAAATGGCATATACGCCTAATGTATGTGTTCTTAATTGGGCCATTTGTCAGCACTTGTCGGGTTATTGCGTTGCCAGAAAAGTTGTTGCTGATTTTTCGTTGATAACTTTCCAATACATCTAAACAACATATAAATAAGCATATCCTAAGCAACATCGTAATAAGTAATATTTAGTATTTATATTTATAAGCTACTCAAAATACTCAACAGTACATAAAGTTATATTCATATTTATCACTTTCAAAGCTGATTAAAATTAAAAAGTATAATAGAAAAAATATATACTGGTTGTACTATTTTTATGACTTTTTATACATATTATAGGATTTTTATTATATTATATGAATGCCCTTTGGAAACGTATAGTTGATTGGACGAAAAAATGAGAACACACTAATCTGAATTAAAAATAATTTAGAAAGGAAATATATATGCGATGAATATATTACACTAATTATAGGTATTTCTGTCGCTTAATTCCGTAAACTGTATCATTTCATAAACAATTCCCGCGATAAAATCGATGTTAACAGATTTATTTATTATTTAGGTGAAACGATTGTTCGCGACGGTCCGAGAATAACTGATCAGTAACATGATAAAATCTCGTCGTGAATGATTACTTTGCTTCTCAGGCTCTCGCCCTGAAGAAACTTCAATTATTATTCTCGAATCACGAACGCCGGCGATGTCGGCCATTAAAGATCACTTTCACAATTGCAAGTGACATTACAGACAATTTTCTCGTGTCTCGCACTACCGTTACAGTATTCATTTACAGGAGCACCTTGTAATACAGCTTTCCTTTGTCATCAAATTTCGAATGAAAGTGATTTACCTTTTGTGTTTCACTATCGTGTCTACTTTCTTACCGTTATCTAGAAAGGTTGACGTGAGATACAGCCTCTCTTCTTGTTAACTTCCTATGTAAAGATGGTTTACTTAGCGAACACCTGCGATGGTGTAATCTTGGTTTTTCTAAAATTCTCTTGACAGCAGAATCTTATTGTTGCTAAAATTATCTCAACAGAACAATTTTGTTTTTCTCTAAATTTTCTTAACAATAAAACCGTGCCTTCATTTTTAGGCTCTCTTAACAGTCGAATTTTGCCTTCTCTAAACTTTTCTCAACAGTAAAATCCTTCTAGCCTTTTGCTATTTTCAAGAGAGAGAGAGAGAGAGAGAGAGAGAGAGAGAGAGAGAGAGAGAGAGAGAGA